GGCCCCTCCTCCTGCCAAGTGCTCTCCCCATTTCCTCCATCACTTCCGAAGATACTGAAGGTGCATCAGGTTGACCTGATTAATGCAAATTCAAAGAGAAGAATGGAATGGTAGCAATAAAGATATCATAAGAAGGGAAAGCTAGTTTTTATCTTTAATAAATTAGATTCTCTTAAGGTAAAGCCATAAGGGAGGCTCCTGGCTTCCCGTGTCTCATACTTTCATCTGTGACTCTGACCGCTCGGCTGCAGTCTGGGGGTCTGGGGTCCTGGGGTCTGGGGTCCCAGGGTCCAGGGGCCTGGGGTCTGGGGGTCCAGGGTCCCGGAATCCCAGGGTCCCGGAATCCCAGGGTCCTGGGGTTTGGAATCTGGGGTCCGGGGGCCTGGGGCCTGGGATCCTGGGATCTGGGATCCTGGGGTCCGGAGGCCTGGGGCCCAAGGGCCTGGGGTCCTGGGGCCTTCGAGATACTTTTCTCACTCTGCCAACTGCAGCTGTAATGTTTTAAGTCTTAACTCCCTTTTGCTATATAGTGATTTATGTGCTTGTCTAGAATTGTAATCATTTTACTGATAGCAGATTGTTTTGATAGCAAAGATGGTGTCTTATATTTGCTTGTCTGTATTCAGCCCTCGTTTCTGCCTTGAATGTAGCTGGCATTCAGTAATTGTTAGTGTATGGGATTTACTGTTGAACTGGAGTAAAGTGGAGTTTTCTGCCCTATGTTGTGAAAAAGAAGTATATCTATTTTTAAATGGTGCAAAATTGGTGTAAATTCTGGAATTTCCTACCTGGACCAAGTTCACGAGCGTGTCTCTGAAGTGTCCTGATGTCTCTGAGTAACAATGTCCTCTTGAAGGTCACTGCTGTATTCTGCGGAAGAAAACGACCATGTTGAAGGGATGATTTATTACAGACCCACATCCCAGCGTGCCGGAATAAGTCAGTGCTGCGTCCCCATTGTGAGAGCAGAGTGAGGAGATACAGCCAATCTGCTGACATTCCCTTGTCTTTTACTGTCAGTGGTTCCTGAGGGGACGGTATAGCTCAAGTGGTGGAGCACATGCTTAACATGAGTGAGGTCCTGGGTTCAATCCCCAGTAAATACATAAATAAATCTAATTACCCCCACCACACACAAAAACCCAAAAACTGTAATGAGAGACAAGGAAATGAAAACAAAAAACAGTCCACCCAAGAAATCTGACACAGGGTAACACAGGCCCTGGTCTCTTTTCTTTAAAAAAATTCTGTCTTTATTCCAAAATGGAAAAACCTTGAGAATCATTTGACATTCTGTAATTGTTAAAATTCAAAATTATGCATTCTTTTCCTTGGACTGCTGCTCAGCCCTGCACTTTCCCAAGTCTTAGTGTCATCTGAACAGTTTCCGTGAAGGGTCCTTTACTCTCCTTGGGAAAGTCTTGTTTTTGTTTGAGTTCAGTTGAGCTGATTGTCTGGAATGTTTTCTTGATATTCAGTGGTCACGTACGATGCAGTGGAACTTAAGGGATTAAACCTTTTTTGAAAATGGAAATAGTTAACCTTTCTACTTTCCAGCTGTTAAAAGTCTGATTTTGAGGCAGGGCACAGTCGCTGTAAGGTTTACCTGAAGGGAAGTTGCTGCCCATCTTTGTGGAATTTGCTGAGCCAGCACCACACTTGGCTTCATTCTGTCTGTAGACCTGGTCCCTCTGGGGTAAGAGATAAGCTGTCCCTCAGCCGTTGTGCTGGGCACTTGCTGTCCTAGTGAAACACGCACCGCCTAGAAACCTGTAAGTCCTTTCCTGGAAAGTTCCCTTAACTTGCCTGTCTAGGCAGTGGTTTCACTTGAGTCCCCTAATCATCCGCTTTACTTAGTGACCTAGCTGGTCTGGAGTGAGTGATATTTCACACACACATGTCTTAGAAAGTTCTTTAAAATACATAACCTGGGATATTTTGTGTGTTATTTGAAAAATACAAAGTTTATCTGTGGATAAAACATATGAACACGTGTATTTCCTTATGCATATAGTAGGCTTCTCGCATCTGGAAGATTTCTCCGTTTGTTCCT